ACAGGGGCAGCTGCTTAGGAGTGCAGGTTTTAGATGGGGTTTTTCCTATCTAGAAACAAAGAAAGAATGAGAGAGAGAGGAAAAAAAAAGAGACACTCCCTGGCTTGTTATCCTAAATCTACGCAGGCATCCTTCCACCCAGCCCCAGGAAGTTCACTTTAGCTCCCTCAGCATAAGCTGATCCTAAGAAATACTGGGCAATAGCCCTTCAGACCCATCGGAAAACCAAGCGTTTAGCTTCACCATCACCCAAAGGCCCCATCCTCCCGGAGCAGTGGCTGGAGCCGGCTCCCTGCGAGGCCGGCTGTGCCCCAGCACTGGGAACAAAAGCACCCAGGGGTGTTTTGGTAGGGGGGAGCTGCCTCATCCTTAGCCCTTTCCCTTGCTGATGACTCCTTGGAGGATGCATCCTGACCACACCGGCACGTTCCAGCTGGGAAGTGGGGGGCTTTCCTCCTTCCCACCCTCCCAGACCGCATCCTATGCCAGGACTGATGGCCGGGCTGGGGCACAGGGGATCGGCAGGACACAAGAGGCAGGCCCCCCTCCCCGCCCGTGGTGAGGGGTTTTGTCCCCCAGGAGGTGCCGGGGAGCACACGGCGCTCTGTGCTGGAGGGTGAGGGAAGATGCCGCGAAGCAGCAGGGAGGGCAGGGCCGCGGGGCGAGGAGCAAAAAAGACCAGTTCTCTGGCTTACGTTGGGGGAAAGACTATAGGAAAGCAGTCCCTTCTCCTTGCAACCCCCCCACCTCCCTTCCCCTCCCGTTATCCCTCCCCTCCCCAGGAGCTGGGCAGCGGGGGAAGGAGGGCAGCCCGCAGGACCCAACCCCAGTCTCTTCCAGAGCCTAAAGAGACACGCTGAAACCCATGTAAAATCCAGCACTGGGGCCAGGGCGAGCCGCCTCCAGCGAGTGGGATCACATCCATCTACTGGCTCCGCAGGGCATGTCCTCCCCGGTCCTCCTGCTCATGGGCTGTGTAGAAGAGGTGGCACTCGGGGTCCCCGCGGATGGTGGGTGCGCCCTGGATCACCTTCCCGTGGATGGGGTCCACGCACCAGCACTCGCCACGCTGCCCGTTCACCGACATCTTGCACTGCATGGAGAGGGACAGGGGAGACATCAGCTGAGGAAATGGGGGGACCAACCAACCCGCTTCCCAGCCCCACCAGTCCAAAGCCTGAACACAGGCAGAGCTGGGACTTCTCCAGTGATTAGGCACTAGTTTGGATTTAGGCAGGATTCAAGGATGCAGCTCTCGGACACCCCAGGGTCTGTGCTGCACCACCAGCACTGCTCCAAAGGTCCAGGCTGAGGGCTGGACCTCTTCTCCAAGGGGCTTTGTCAGGGATCGAGAAGCCAATTTTAATGAACCATGAGGACAACTTCCCCCGGATGCATCGCGCTCTGTCAACTGTGGATGAAAGCATCCATGGAGTCAAAAATCCCTGGGGGAAGAGGGATGAGACAGACGGATAGAGAAGCTGTGTAAGCTTCTTCTCACCTGCAAATTGGGCTAAACAAACTGAAACATGAGAGCAAGGCCCCCACAGCCAGACACAAACGTACTTCCAAAGAGGGTTTCACTCCATTCCAAAACAGAGGTAGGAATCATGGTGCATGTGGACCTGGACTCTGCCCCTCCCAGCCTGGTCTGTTTAGAGAGAAGTTTTTTGCTCTAATGGTTATCATCCATCTCTTGCCCTGAAACTTTGAACCTGATGCTCGTCCCTCCATCCCCAGCAGATACATCTCTGAATAGGGCATAGTGGGAGATGCAGAGGCTTGAATCCAGCAGGCCAGCCTCTGCGTGCGCTCTGTAAAGCTGAATTCAAGCCATTTTCTGCAGCTGGACTGAGGTCAAAACGCAGCCTTGTTCATGGGAATAAAAAGCATGAAAAGAGAGGAAGAAAAAGCCTCCCCAGCAGGAGAATGTATCCAGGCACCCTCCACCCAGGCACTGGCCCACAGCAGGTGGGAGCAACTGGGAATGCTTTTGTTGGCATCTGCTTTCCAGCAAACGAAAAGGAGCTAATACTCAGCTCTGGAAACTCAGATGGAGGGAAATGGGTTTTGCTTCATATTTGCCTTGTTTGCCCTTAACCAGGGCAGAGTAGGGGGGAGAAGAGAAAGCCCCTCTCTTTTGCTGCAGCAGTGACCAACGTATAACCCGTCTGCACCCTTCAGTGCAGGCTGACTCGCGTCCCAGGCACAAGGAGCAGCAGAGACTGTCTTTTCTTTTGTAACACATGATGCATCACTGCATTGCCCAGGCTCGTTCCCCAGACACGGCTCATCTCCTTACAGGGAATTTGCCAGCTCTGCTCCATGCACCCCTTCCAAGTGTGCTCATGCTGGGGGGATCCAGCCAGCCTGTGAGGCTCCTCAGGGAGAGGCGGGTGGTGAGGGTCCAGGCAGGACAGGGATGACAGAGGGATGGAGGGAGATTATCTCAGAGCATCTTACTTTTTTTAATGCTTTTTAAATATTTTTTTTTTTTAATGCTCCTGATCAAGGGGTGGAAGTAGCTCTGAGAAAAAGGCTTAGCCATGAAAACAGCAGGTTTTCTGGGGTCCCCTCCAAAGGCTCAGTTACGCATCGCTGTAAGGGGTGCTCGTATCCAAGTACTGTTCACACATGGCTGCCGGTCAACCCTGGACAAGCTGGTGTTTTGCTGCCCAAGAGGTTTTTTCTGGCATTTTTTTCCCCATGCCTCAGCCACTGACACCTGCTGGTTTTGCACGAATGGAGCCAAGAAGTCAAAATTCAGACGTACATTAGGTTGTCTGAGTCCTTTAGGGCCCCGTAAATACTTTCAGAAGGATGCTGCACCCCAACTCCCACCTCATCTGGAAGGAATCTCTCCTGGAACTGTGGGACCAGCCTCAATTTGTGGAGGAAAACCAGTAAAGTGTACTAGAAACTTTCCTGACCCCAGAAGTGCTTTTTGCTTTGTCCGCAGGACTGGCCAGCATTCAGCCCCTCTCTGCTTTTGCCCTGTAGCAGGGCCCAGGGCCCAGGACGAGGCTTGGCTCAAAGCACATGAAAATAGACCTGGACAGATAAGCGGCTCTCGCAGGGAAGAAGAGGCTCTGAACTAAACAGATTCTCCATCTCTGGGCTGCCCGCAGCCAAGCAGGGATGCGGGTCTCATCTCCACTTGCTAGTCTGTGGCTGCAGATGCACCTGGGTGTTACTAACCTGTACAGGCCATGTGCAATGTTTGGCGTGTACCCCACACTTCACACCATTCACACAACATCAGCCCAGCCCTGAGCTGTGTGTGAACCCATGGCTGCACACGGGGCGGGTCACGTGGCAGCACGGCCAGCCCTGGGGCTCTGGGTCTCCCCACTTACCTGTTTGAGATTGTATAAGCCGTGCTTGTCACAGTTGGGGATGTGGAGGGAGTAGAGGTGCTCCAGGGGACCTCGCTCATCCGGCAGCCGCATAGTGGAGATGCGTTCCAGGACCTGATCCAGCTCTTGCTGACAAGGGGTCTGAAAAGAGCCCAGAAAGCAGAAAAAAAAACAAAACAAAACAAAAATCAGGGCAATGGGACCATTCAATGTCAACAGTTTGAACAACAGAAACAGCAAAAAGGATGAACATCTGTGTGCATCTCTTCATGACACAGGCTTGCCACTGGGTCCCGCTGCAGACTTCACCTGCAGGCACCCAAAATCCGAGTGCTGCACGTACACACATGCCGATGTGTGGAGATCCACACAGGGAGACATGCACGTATCTCCCATGTGCCTCATGTGGCCAAGGGCCAACATGACACCAGGTCACAGGCCCTGGAGGCACAGAGGTGGAGAGGCATCAGATACTCCCATGGGTCCTGCTGGTGGCGACGAGTGATGTGAAGCAGGTCTAATCCTGACAGACCAGGAGGGTTTCCATAACCCATAATCCCACATCTGTGATGCAGTTTTGGCCCACATGTGCAACTCAAAGCATGTGAGACCACATGGGAGTGGAGAGGAAGCCCCAGGAAGGAGAGCACCCAGCAAACCCAGCCTCTGGAGGCATCCTCCTTGCTCCACAGCAACCCCAGGCCAGTGCTCCCAGCCAAGACAGCCTGGTTGAATTATGGCTGATGTGAGCTGGAGTGAGTCTGCACCTCTCTGCTTTCACAGTTGCTATTTTCTTTCCAAAGGAGCAGAAGCAGCATGGGAGCTCTCTAAGCTGGCAGTCCCTGCACCTTATTCTGAGCCTCCACTTTGCCTGTTCCTTGGAGGGGATTCGGGCTCTCTTTTAAAGCCCCCTTCTCTCCCCGCACTCCCCAGATATGAATACCCTCTATGTTCATACAGGGTATTACAGACTTTCTGGGGTGACTTTCCATCCCCATTCCATCTAGTTGCCTTGACCAAGCTGCCCACTAGAGGGAAACCACGGCCAAGGACCGGCGGGCAGAGAAACACGGAGAGAGAAGAAGGGGACAGGGAGGACTCCGGGCACCCTCCCGCTATGGGACAGCTCCAGAGCCCATCCTCGGAGGCTCTGGGCCCCCGCCTCAACCTGGACTAGGGCTGCCCTGCAGCAAGCAGACACCCTTTCACCTCCCAGATCCCCTTGGGCCATCCCTGGCACTCGCTTAGGGAAAAAGGGTGTGAGAAAGCCGGTCTGCGGGCGAAGGGCAGGCTAGCACCCCTGTGGAGGTAGGTGTCGAGCCAGCGGGACCCCCCCTCCTCGGCTCTGCTGTCAGGAGGTGAAGCTGCAATGAAAATAATGCCTCCTTGCCAGCACGTCAAAGTTCATCAGATGGTGTGTTCGGCCCCAGCTTCAAGCCAAAACAAATGTTTGCTTTTCCTTTTTGTCTCTCCCCCTCTCCCCGTTTTTTCTTTCTTTTTTTTTTTTAAGACAGTTTGTTGCAGATGTCACTAAGGCTTTTGCATTCAGCATTTCCCAGCATGCCCGCAGATGCCTCCGTTAGCCCCCCATGCTCCCTGCCCTCTCACCCTGCCTGTCGACAGCCGTGACTTCTTCGAGTCCTCGTGGTTGTGGTGAGCCTTGCCGACTTTGCCCATCTGACGCTGCTGCTCGTTCACCTTCTCCCTCATAACCGCCAGCTCCTTCATGCCCGTCTTTATGGGCTTCCTCCCGCCACCTCCGCTCAGGATCCCCGTGGTGCCGTCCACATGGTTCTCGGCAAGGATGCTCTCGGACCGGTCATCACTGTTATCTGCAGGAGACAGGGCAGACAAGGAAAGGGTCAAGCTCAGCCAGGCGCTCTCTCACATGTTCATCCCATCCTGGATCGCTTTCAGCATGGCTGGTTACCAAGCCATAAAATCTTTGCATGCAAAAATTTTAAATTGCATTAGCCCTTTCATCTGGAAGGTGAGAATAGATCCTTTCATTCTGGAGTTATTACCACACTAAAAGATAGTTTAGAGAGCAGGGGAAATCACTGCTGGAGAAGTTCTTTCTGTTTTTTCTCTGACCTTCTAAATTACTTCCCAAAGAATGTAATTTTCCTATCAGAAGTCCAGTTGGGTTAGGGATGCCAAGTGTACTTCACCTCCAAAACTTAAAACCACAGTGATTAGTAACAACACCTTGAGTCCATCTATCATCCCCCAGAGTATCTCCAGGAACACTTACTCAATATTAATGTGCTAAAATAAATTCTCAGGCCCACTTTCAAAAATACCTTGCCGCTGTTTTACGGCCACCCTAATTTCCCTTGGAGATCCTGCCATTTCAGTGATCATCCTTGCCCTATCGTCTTCCACATCATTTGTCATAAGCGCGTTACTCATTTAGCTTCTACCTACTTCTGCATTTGGCCACTTCTGCTGACCGTGGAACAGCCCCACGTGTCCCAGGCCCAACTCTGCCACTGCAGCAAGCCCCAAGACCCCCAGCTAATTCAGCCATTTCAAAATTAGCAGAAATCTGAGGATAAACACTGGACTTTGTCCACCTCCTCCACTCTCTGCTTTGTGCATTTTCCCAGCTCACTGGGTGCCGTTTCTGAGAGCAATCCCTGCCAAAGCAGGGTAAGATGGTGCTTCAGGCACCAGTCCCTTTGGACTTTGCGGTGGCAATGAGGACAGATCTCAATTCCTCCTGCTTGCTCCAGAAGCCCAGAAGGTGATAGCTGACCCCTCCTTGGTGCCTGGTCTGATCTGGCTGAGCAAGCACATCTAACACCATAGCTGGATTTAACATTGAAGCTGGCCCTGCTTTCAGCAGGGGCTTGGACCAAGATCTCCAGAGGTCCTTTCCAGCCCAAATTGCGATTCAACCCATGCATGCACATCACCTCTCACTGCAACAACCCAGGCTAAGTACGTTTCTGTATATAATTCTGTGTATAGGAGCTCTTCAGCAGCTTCACTGGTCCCACAACAGTGACAGGCATTCTGGTCCTACAGAGGTGACAAACATGAAGTGTCTTTTAGCATACGCCAAGGAGGAACTGTAGCACCCAGCATCCCAACATCAGCATTCTCTCTGGCACCTTGGATTTCAGCTTTCCAGCACTCCGGAACTCAGGCACTCATATAGAAGTAAAGAAAACACATCAAACTGTGCGCAACAGAGGCCAAGCAAGGCTTTAGTTCTTGTAACAATGCTTAATTCATGGATCTCTCCTGCTTCTTGGAAGACCAAGCACACAGAGCATTTACAGATTTTAACACTTCTTTTTTTTCAGAAGCTGTATCATGATGTTTTGTGAGGGTATAGCTCTACTGTCATGACAGAGGGTGAAAAATCGTAATAGCAAGTGTTTTATTTCTGGCACAGCTTTCCAAGCTCTTTTCAGGTGTTACAAACCCAGGCTCACACAGGGGAAACTGCAAGAACAGTTTTGTCTGAACTTAGCAAACATGCGCCTGCCTGCAGGTCGATGGCAAGAGAACGGCCCAAGTGGGCTGGATCAAAAAGCCACCTGAGACGAGCATGCCATCCACAAGAGACCAGCAGCAGCTGCTTGGGGACACACATCAGAAGGACCATTCCTAATCTGTGCTGCAGACCAGCAGTAAAAGCACTTTCATGGCTGGAGACTCTATCTGACCCACAGGATTTAAAAGCCACCAACAGACCCATCCCTCAATGGATTTTTTCCAATATCCTTTTGAACTTCCTCACCATTTTGGCCTCAGATCTCCCAATACTGGGATTGTCCCACTTCCCAGAAATACTAAATATGTTTGGTCTGCAGGTTTTTAGCTGCTTAGGTAGCAACTGAAAAGCAAACATGGGGCAAAACCAATCTGGCAAAGTCTACGACTTTCCTCAATACTAGTTCCAGATGAGAACTAGGACCAGGTTTGATAGCCAGATGGGTGAGCTCAAAGTCTGGGCCACTGCCTGGCGATTGTCGTCTGGCCGTCATCCTAGGAGCCGGACAAGGAATATTTTGAGCAGGAATCTTCTGTTTATACACCAGTCTCCCCATTAATTAGAAACACATAGTGAGAAGAGAGAAGGCCATGGAGCCGCCCTTCAGACAGGATGAAATGAAAAAGCACCGTGCAAGAGATGGGCAAGGCTGGCCAGGCTCTGAGCCTCAACGAGCTGCTTAGGAGGGTTTGAGTCTTCTGACGTCATTTGTGCTCCTCTCTTTGGTGTCCCACCAAGCTGTCAACAACAGCAGAAGGACGAGCGCAGCAGCAGGGCAGCATCTCAGATACATTGCAGTCCCCTGCTTCATTCAGAAAACCAATGGTACAAATCGATGGAAAAGCAGCAAACTGGAAGCGGTGACTTTCCCCATCGATTCTCGTTCTTTCCTGCCTCCAACTAAAATATATAGACATCTGCCCAAATAAGCACTAGTAAATGAAGGCGAGCTGGTAAGCCTCTTGTCGGCTGATTCATTCACAAAACCTGCTTCTGATAATATTTTCACTCATTTTTCTCACTTTCCAATGCTAACAAATATCAGCCCAAAGAAAACCACCGACGGGAGCAGAGTGTGCAAGCCCATGTGCATGAACACACCCAGGGACAGAAGAGATTGGTCTTGGCTCTCTGGACACCATCACAGGAGCAGAGACAAGGAAGGTCTAGCTGCTATCGACTGCAAACTCCAAGGCCAAGCCAACCACGGTAAGCCATACCCTCTCCCTGCTGCCAGGCTGGACTGATCCACCCAGGGCTGATGCTGGAGCCCCATCACAGCTTTCCCCTCTCCCAAATCTGGTGCTGGTCTTAGGAGGAGCTCTCCTGACCTGGTGATTGCAGGGATGGCTGAACGGCTGGGGAAGGGAGATGAGACAGAAGAGGCTGGCCGGCTCCACGTGCAAAGCATCAGTGTTTCCTTCAGGGACAAGCTGCATGCACGGGAGGAGGCTGAGCATCAGGTGTGACGGACCACGTTTCAAAGAGCAAACGGGCTGGGTAGCAACGACAAGAGTGGAGACATCAAGACTCAAGGTCAGGAGAACACAGAGCATGCTGTGAGCCAAACGACGCCTTCTACAGCCAGATAATGCTTTTTAACACTGCCCAGAAGGAGCAAGTTGTGCGTGCTTGCTTATGACTATCCATGAACCAATTCAGCCACCCACCAACCCTACCGGCATGGGATGGGCAGGTATGCAATTGCCTCAGATATACAACCCTAATCCGTTTGTCATCCTGGCAAATGCCTTTTCGCTGACCAATTTCATTTCACACTAAATATATCTGTGAACAGAGTGGTGCCAAACTCCAAAACAATTAGGTTTTATAGTTCTTCCATTTTCTTATGGCATGTGGAAAACATCTCCTGTGCTATTTCAGATCAAAAGGTAAGAGAGCTTTGCGCAGGGTGGGATAAGTGTGGCGGGAATCAAAGCAGATAGCTGAAGTTCTCCTGAACACTGATGTGGAGCCCATGAAACACCTCTCTCCACGCCAAGAAAATGATTTCTTTATGGCCTTTTTCAAGGAAAATTCCCATTGGCTTCAACGGGGTGAGGACTTGGCTGAGGTGAAAGCGTGTTCAAATGGCCATCAGCTAACGTCTGTAAGGAGCTGCACAGCCTCACCAACATTTTCAAAAGTGGCTACCAATATCCAGCGCTGAAATTTTCGGGAATCTGGTTTGAGACCTCTAGGCACCTCCGCCCAGACAGTGGAGAAACAGAGGGGCTTAAAAACAACCTGCCACTTCCAGAGCTGCAAGAAGAAAAAAGCACCACACAAAAAAAAGCAGCTGCCTGAAGTTAAAAATACATCTTTATCCCTCTGAAGAGCCCCAAAGCGTATGTGGGCTGCGGGACAGGATCGAGCCAGTAGCACTCACATATCACGAGAGGGCCAGGCTGTATCACAGGGAGCATGCACCATGCCAAGGACCGCAGCCGCCTTCTCCAGCACTGCTCTCTCTCTGTGCTTGCTTTCCTTCGGGGACAGCTTGCCCGCAGGGTTTCACATGCATTTCCTTATCTGCCCAGGGTGTTTGCATAGCGTTTAAGTGCTGATTAAGGTCCCAGACCCACATAAAGTTTCACCCAAGTGGCCTTCAACAACCTGCCCGCAGCCCCACCAGTCTCGGTCCCGGCTGTGTCCCAGGCTGGACGGGGCTTACATCTCCCTCTCAAAGCCTCTGTTGGTCACCACTTTCCCTCTGAAGACACCAATGTGCTTTGCAGTTCATTAATTATCCCAGAAAGAGAGGTGTTCATCCTGGTTTGCACCTGCTCAAAAACAAAGGCATGGAAAAAAATGAAAGCATTGCCCAAAGCCACACAGGGAATCCAGCGAACCCAGGAGCCTGTGCTCCTGCCCCAGCACCGCACACTGCACAGGAGCCACAGCACCTGGGCTGCAGGAATGAGGCATCCAGAGAGTGATTTTTCACCCCAGCAGTGTTGTGTGTCTCATCTAGCTGTTTTTTGTTTCCCCCTCCAATACTTTTAGCCTCTTGTGGCTGCGAGTTCTACCATTTCAGGATGATTTAAGTGCCTGATCTGGGTTTTGCTTGCCACTTTTTATTTTGAGGAGCAGAGCTGCCTGTCCTAGGCTGCCAGGAGCTCAGCACTTGTCCTTCGCAGCCTTGGAAAGGTCAGGTTTAAAGACCCTGCCTGCTAACACGCACAACAGCCACGGCCGGAGAATTACTTGCAGGCAGGTGGGGAAGGAGCAGACAATCCTGGACCGCAGCCCTGGTGACCTCTGCCTCATCAGTCTGCAAAGTATTTCTAGGAGAGCCCTGGGCAAAGGTTCCTGTGCAATAGTTCTG